AAAAAAAATGGATTAAGCTTCAGGTGTCTCTGGGGCAGTAACAAAAGATCCCCTATTCATATTATTGGAGTCCCAGAAGGAAAGAAGAAAATGTGGTATGGAAAAAGATAATGGCTTTGGGGGGAGGACATAGCTCAAGTGGTAGAGCACATGCTTAGCATACACAAGGTCCTGGGTTCAATCCGCAGTACTACCTCTAAAAATAAAAAATAAGTAAACCGATTACCTTCCCCACAAAATTTAAAAAAAAGGAAAAAAAAAGAAAACAAAGAGAAAGGTAATGGCTGAAAACTTCTCAAACTTGGCAAAATACACACAATAGATTCAAGAAGCTGAGTGAACTCTAACAGGATAAACCCCCCAAAAATCCACACCAAGACACATCATGATTAAATTTCCAAAAACTAAAGGCAGGCAGAAACCTTGAAAATAGCCACAGAGAAACAATGCATTACCTACAGAGGAATACCACTTAAAATGACAGCAGACTGTGTGCCTGAAACCAGAGGCCAGAAGCGAGTGGTCCAAGAGATGAAAGAAAATCCCCACCAACTATGAATTCTGTATCTGGTGAAACTTCCTTCAGGAATGAAGGGGAAATAAGGACATTCTCAGACAAATGAAAACTAAAAGAATTTGTTGCTAGCAGACATACCTTTAAGATTGGCCAGAGGATATTCTTCAAATAGAAAAGAAATCATAAAAGAAGGCATGTTGGAGCATCAGGAAGGAAGGAAGGAAGGAAGGAGGCAGAAATTTGGGTACATTCCTTGGGCTATGCATCTGTTCTCGTGAGTTTTGTTTAAAAGTTCAGGAAGTAAAGAGACCTCCATGGAAATCAGGTCACTTACCACTTTGAAGTGGCAAGATGACTGTGATGGATAAAGTATTCCACTGCAAAACCCAGAGCATCACAGAAACGACACAAATATACTCAAATACACCATAAATAAATCAAAACAGAACCAAAAAACGTTCAAGGGATAGGAAGGCAAAGAAAAAGAAACAGGGACAAGAACCAGAAGAAACGAACTAAAAAATAAAAACATGGTAGACTTAAACACTAACATACCCATAATCATCAAATGTAAATGGTCAAAATACATCAACTCAACTGAAAGATGGGCAGAGTGGATAAGGAAACATGGCTCAATACACCCTGTTTACAAGAAATTCACTTCAAATTCAGTGATATAGCTGGGTAGAAAGTAAAAGGACTGAAAATCATATGCCATGGAAACATGAATTTTAAAAAAGCAGGAGTGGCAATACAGGCACACCTTGGAGATTTTGCGGGTTTGGTTCCAGACCTCCTCAATAAAGTTGCAATAAAGTGAGTCACAAAAATTTTTTTGTTTTCCCAGTTTACATAAAAGTTGCAGTTATAAAAAAGTGCACCCTATATGGTACTCTATTAAGTGTGCAGTGGCCTTATGTCCAGAAAACAATGTAAGTACCTTAATGAAAAAATACTTTATTGCTAAAAATGCTGTCATTTGAACTTTCAACAAGTAGAAGCCTTAACATCAAAGATCACCATAACAAATATAATCATAATGAAAAAGTTTGAAATACTATAAGAATTACCATAATGTGACACAGAGAAACAAAGTGAGCAAATGCTGTTGGAAAAATGGTGCTAACAGACATGCTAGATGCCAGGTTGTCACAAACTTTCAATTTGTAAAAAAAATGCAGAATCTCCTTAGTACAGTTAAGTGCAGGGCAATAAAATGAGGTCTGCCTGTATTAATATACAATGAAGCAGACTTCGGAGAAAAGGTAATTAGTAGACAGAAAGAGGGTTATTACGTGATGACAAAAAGATTAATCTACTTGGAAGTCACGAAGGTCCTACATGTATAAGTACCAAACAAGACCCTTAGGACACATCAAGAAAAGCTGACAGAGCTGGAAGGAGAAACAGACAAGTCCACAGTTACAGCTGGGGACTTCCACACCCCTCTCATCGACAGACAGAACTACCAGAATTAAAGAAGGGATCTGACTACAGTTTCTGTACCCATTAAAAGGGAATACTATGAACAACTTTATTCTTAAAAAATTGACAATTTAGAAAAAATAGACCAATTCCTCAAAACCCACAAAATTACAGTTGACCCTTGAAAAACATGGGGGTTGGGGGGACCCCAAGCGCAATCAAAACTCCAAGTATAACATTACAGTTGGCCCTCCATATCCTCAGATTCAACCAACCCCGGATCATGTAGTTCTGTAGTATTTATTGAAAATGCCTAAGTGGACCCACACAATTCAAACCTATGATGTTCAAGGGTCAACTGTACTAAAATTCAATCAGGATGAAATAGATCATCTGAACAATCCTGTAACCCATAACCATTAAAGAAACTGAATCCATTATTTTAACAGAGAACAATTCTCTAAGGTCAGAATGTTTCAACTGGAGAATTCTAGAGCTATTTAAGGAATTAACCAATTCTATATAATTTCTTCTAGAAAACAGAAGAGGAAGTCATAACCACTTTATGAGGCCAGTAGTATCCTGATACCAAAACCAAACAAAGACAGGACAAAAAGAGAAACTGCAGACCAATATCCCTCATGGACCCAGAAAATACTCTACAAAATATTAGCACTCCACATCCAGTAATGTATAAAAAGCATTATACACCATAACCAAGTAGATAATTTTTCTAGGTGTGCAAGGGTGGTCAAACATATGAAAATCAATTAACAAATATACCATATCAACAGACTGAAGAAGAAAAATCATGTGATTGTATCAATTGAAGCAGAAAAAGCACTGGACAAAATCCAACACCCATTTATGATAAGAACTCTCAGCAAGTTGGGCATTTTCTTAAATTCATAAAGGAGTATCTACAAAAACCCTACAGCTAACATCGTGGTGTAAGACTCACAGGGTAAGACTGAATGCTTTTCCTCAATATCAAGAACCAGGCAAGGATGCCAACCTTCACCACTCTTACTCAGCAAAGTACTAGAAGATCTAGACTCTGCAATAAGGCAAGAGAAAGAAAATAAAGGTATACAGATGGGAAAAGAAGAAATAAAACTGACCCTATTTGTAGGTGACATAATTGTCTGTGTAGAAATTCCAAGAAATCTCCAAATAAACCCCTAGAACTAATACGTGATTTCAGCAAGGTTGCAGGATACAAGAGCAACACAGAAAAGCAATTACATTTCTACATACTAACAACGAACACATGGAAACCAAAATTAAAAACACAATGCCATTCACAAGTGCTCCAAGGAAATGAAGTATTTAAGCACACACTTAAAAAAAAAGTTACAGAATTTGGATGCTGAAAATTATAGACAGATGATAAAATAAATTTTAAAAGACCTTAATTAATAGAGACATACCATGTTCATGGATTAGAAGACTTGTTAATTCTCCCTAAATTAATTTATGGATTTACTGTAATTCTTACCAAAATCCCAGCAAGGTCTTTTGTAGATAAAGACAAGCTTATTCTAAAATTTATATGCAAAGGCAAAGGAACTAGATTAGCTAAGACAATCCTAACAAAGAAGAGTAAGGTGAGAGGAATCACTCTACCTGATATTAAGGCTTACTACAGAGCTCCAGTAATGAAGGCAGTGTGGTAGTGGTGGGGGAATAGACAAAAAAATAAAATTGTTTGCTAAAGCAAAACAGTATTAAACTCTGGGACACATCCATCTCAGATGAGGTCATCCAAACTGGCCTTTTCAAAACTGAGAAAAGCAATTAATCATACAGGTGACAACCAAGTGGTATCCTGATTTCCCATTAATGAGTAGTAACAGTGTGCTTTTATCCAGGAATGGACACTGTGAGAACATCTGGTTCTAGCAGGGTGAGCAGAAATCTGGTCCAGGAGTAGTGAGTCATGGAGGCAGAAGAAGGAGATGGGCACTCCATGATCTTTCTGGAAAATGGACTCTACCTCACAGGATTTTCACACTCCTCTGTACTATCTTATCACCTTATCTTTACCTCCACTACAAAAGTGTCAATGATGTGCTCTTGGGGGAGGAACCAGTGGGCTACTTCCTCTTCATCCATCACCGGGGCTAAATGAAATTGCTTCAGGTAACTGTTGGTTAGTTCTTGAACGGCTTTGATATCTCTTGGTTCCATCGGCCTCAAGCCTGCAGTTTTTGTAACCTGTTACAGTGAAAACAGAACAAATTGGGAGGTTTAAAGAAGAGGAGTAAACAAACTTGGCACCAAAGCATGGTCCCCAGACCAGCAGTATTAGCATCCCATGGGAGCTTGTTAGAACTGCAGAATCTTAAAAAACACAAAACAAAAAAAAAACCAAACAATGAATGAATTAATTAATTTTTTAAATAGAAGTATAGTCCGTTTACAATGTTGTGTCAATTTCTGGCGTATAGCATAATGCCTCAGTCATACATGAACATACAAATATTCATTTTTATATTCTTTTTCATTATAGGTTACTATAAGATATTGAATATAGTTCCCTGTGCTATATAGTAGAAACTTGTTGTTTTATCTATTTTATATTCAGTAGTTAGTATCTGCAAATCCCGAACTTACAATTTATCCCTTCCCACCCCGTTTCCCGTATGGTAACCATAAGTTTGTTTTCTATGTATGTGCATCTGTTTCTGTTTGGTAAGTAAGTTCATTTGTGTCTTTTTTTTTTTTTTTTCAGATTCTACTTTTAAGTGATATCATATGGTATTTTTCTTTCTCTTTCTGGAACTGCAAAATCTTGGGGCTGCACCGGACCTACCAAGTCAGAAGGTGCAATTTCATAAGATCCCCTGGTGCTTTGTTTACACACAAAGTTTGAAAAGCACTGGGTTAGAATATAAGCTACACAGTGTGATCTATCTTCTTATCTCCATGTACCAGGTCTTGAGTCAGTGTTGCCTTTGACTCAAACAAAGCCAACAGGAACACTACAAGTTGATCTATATACCAATGCCAAGAATTTTAACAGCCTACACGACAGGGCAGAGTAATCTTAGCATGTTTTACACTTCAAGATTGCCACGTCTGACATTTTGAAAACACAGTTGAAAATGACTGAGAAACATATTTTGTTCAACAGCCTGTGAAAAAGATGTAGCTATTTTGTTCTCAAGAGCAACAAAAATGAAAGAAGAGTGAATCATATTGGTCAGTAGGGGAAGGCAAGCATTTTAACAGCCAAGGACGAATGGCTGGTTGCCAAGTCCTGGCCCTGGTCTCTCATGCCATCTTTTGATTAAAAGGTGATCAGAACAGGCATCTGAATCCACCATTCTAGAATGTCACAATATTTACATTAGGCCTTAGGAATAGCAAACCCTCACGGTGAGGACATGTCCCCATTTGGATTTGTTCAAGTGCTTTTTCTTAAAGGGGCTCCAGACATCCACTACAGGAAGCGTCCAGACATCAGCACACCTGACACTAGGAGCAGGAAGGCCCACTCTACATGTTTGTTTGTACAACAAAAAATTCAATACTTACAAATATAACCTCAATTTTCCAGTTAATTTGATATTTTTTTTCTTGAAGAAATACTGGTTAAATTCTAAGCGACAAGTATCCTGTATCTAAATAGTGCTATTCTATCTTTTCTGTCCTAAATTATTTCTAAGGACTTTCAAATTAAAAACTGCCTCTAAAATTAGACCGTCACAATTCCTACATGCCCCCAGACCAGTGGGAGGGGAGAAACCCGAGGTGGAAAATGGGTGTTCATCTTGAGTGCTGGTTCTGACAGATGCTAGTCGTCATGCTGAGGTCTCTAAGGTTCAGGGACAAAGAATGCTGCTGGATTACTGATTAGCGTTGGGAGGGGACAGGAGATGTGTTCTCCCTGTTTACAGACCCAGCAGTCCTTAGCTGAGTATTTACTATGTGCCACTCAGTTCAGATTTCTTTAATCTGTAAAGACACAGTAATGCAGCTAAAATAGTTTGATATCCTAAAATGAGAGAATTGAAGTCCTTGACTAATAGAGAACTCAATACTTTCTGTCTTTCGGTGGGTCTCAAAGCCAAAGGACCAGAAATATCCAGGTTTCCATCCAAGGCTTAACCCTTGGTTACTAATGGCCTGAATTGGTGTTGAATCAATGAATTAATTCCTAGGTTTTGTACCAGTCATTTACCCAGTAAGGTGAGGTGAAGGCTGAAGACACAGAAAATGTCACTGTCAGCTCTGAGGAGATGACATGTCCGTGGTCTGGCATCTGAGTGCAAGCCAAGCGTGAAGCGGTATTCTCCTCTGTCTCCCTAAGCCAGTTCTAGTTACGTGGAGCACTTCTATATTGCAGTTTGTGGGAGGAGGGAGCCTGCACGATTTCTAAACAGTGTGAAATGAAACAAATACACATTTCTAAATGCTGGTGGAAGACCAAAATCATACCACATGTATACTGCTGTCATTTGAAAAGGTTATTTTTTGCTATGAGGATGACCTGGATAAATTTTAAATAGCCCTTCTCAATATCAGACTGTTTTTTTCTTCTGTTACTGATTCAGTAACAATCAAGCAGTAATATCAAGCAGTTAGATTAACTAATGAAAGCAACAGGAAACATGGGATCTGTTGACAGAGACCATTCATAAATGAAGACTAAAGTCTGCTGACAACTTTCTATAGTAAAACAGGCTTCTTCAGCACAGTTCTTATTCACTGAGTATTCATCCTGTGAAATCACTGAAGTCAACATCTTTTTGCCCAGCAGACATCCTTAAAGCAGCAGTTCTCAAGTATCTTGGTCTGGGGCTTTGTTATGCTCTTAAAAATGATTCAGTGCTCCCAAAGAGCTTTGCTAATGTGGGTTATATTCATCCATATTTATCATATTAGAAGTGAACTTAAAAATTTTAAAACAAAAGAACATATAAGCTCACATTCCATACAGCCTCTGGATGACTTCCCAGTGCACCTGTAGTAAGATAATAAAAGTGAAAAATGTAAATTATCTTTTTGTGTTATAAAAACTTTGACTTCACGGGCCCCCTGAAGGGCTGTGGGAAGTTCCACGGGTCCCTGGACCAGACTGTGAGAACTGCTATGTGAAGTCTCTGAAGGTCAGAAAAATGGGTAGTAGAATTTAGAATAGGAAAGCTCAGTGAAACAGTATGTCTTGGTGAAAAGGCAGGGAGAAAGATAAACTCGGCAGTTTATAAGCACTTCAGACAAGTCTTTACAGGAGCATTAAAGCAAAAGAGAACATCAGACTGTATCCAGCTATAAAAAATATAAGGTATTAGAAACAGGAGAAGAGTATTTACTTTTGCTCACTAACAACTGCTTATTATCTCCAAGCCCACACTTATTTCCTTCTAATGTCATGGAGTCACATACTCTCCAAAATCTATAGAAGCATAAATTTTAAGATAAATTTTAAAATGTTTAAACAAACACTCCAATTATAGCTGTTGTCTTCAGGAAGAAGTGGGGAAAATGTTATGCCTAGATAAAAATGGTAAGCTTTGGTATAATCCAAAAGAGGAAAGTGTCGATGTTTTCTGAAAGTTCAATAAACAGCAAAAACAAACAAACCAACAAAAACCCCCAAACATTTCCAGTAACTGAGGAAAATCTTAAAATTCACAAGCAAATTCTATTTCTGAATCAGATATACTTTCCCACAGTCTAACTCATACTCATTGTACATAAATTGAAATCTCTGTAAAATCTGCTCATACACAAGGAAATGGAGTTCTATTAAAAACCAGAAGCAGAGCTGTTCTCTGTCAAATCTGTGGTGTGAACTGTTTTGGAGTCAAGATTCCAAGGTAGAGATGTAAGCAATGATTACGGTTATTTATTTGATTTAAGAAGGAGTAGGACATTAAACACTAAAAAAAAAAAATCCACAGCTACTACATCTAGAACATCTCCTGTGTCTTAGCACGTCTTCACATGCGAAAACTTCTTGCATCGCACTGTAAAGATGCTGGGAGAGTAACCTGACTCCTGCTTTTCATCTACTTCAAATTCCTTCTTCACCTTTAAGAGCACTGATGAAAAAAAAAAATCCAACGTCGTTTGGAAATTCTCAACACCAAATTAAAAACAAACCAACATTTAAAGGGTAGGAATCTGTGTTACTCTTGGTCTTTTAGGTAACAGTGGCTCATGGGGTGGGCTCTGGGGATGGTTCTGTCCTGATCAGAAGGCTCTGAACAAACCCATCTGATGTTTCAGTGTCCACTTCTGTGACTGAGGACAATGACCTGTCCTCTATGATTGTTATGAATAATAAAGGGGATTATGGATGTTAACTGTTTAGCATAATGCTTGTCATAATAAATGTGAACCCCTCCACTCAGAAGTCTGCGGAGAAGACCTAAAGCAGGCCCGGTAAGAGAAACGGCCATGGTGAATGAGAACATGAGACTGAGTCATAAAGCAAAGGCCGTATTCAGTAAGCTGCTTCTCTTTCTGCTTAATGGTACAAAAATGTTCTTTTTTTTTTAATGGAGGTCCTGGGAATTGAACCCAGGACCTGATGCATGCTAAGCACAAACTCTACCACTAAGCTAGACCCTGCCCCCAATACAAAAATGTTCTAAAATGCTGCTGTTGCTAGCAGTGGCCTCACCCATCTGGGCCACTGGGAGAGAAGGAGGTGGTCTGGTTTATGTTGCCTCATCCAGCTTCTAAGTGAGGTGGCTGCTGTCGACACCTTCCAATTTTCCAATATCTCTATTTCCATCTCTTCTGTCTTCTCTGTTTTTCATGAATTTACTCTTTAGTTTTCTTTCCTACCCTATGACTTAAAAGGGGGAAGGGAGGCTGGAACACGCCAACAAAAGCTGCTTAGACCTTGACAGCCATCCTTTCCTGCCTCACCCTGGTCTCTAATGATGGCACAAGGAGACATCTGGTGGGACTGGGCCTTGGTGCCACGACAGCGGGTGTGTTAGAGGTGACAGTGGAGGCAAAGGGACCTCACAGGAGAAAACACAGAAGTCTGGGGCCCGCACACTATGTCCTCCACTTATTAGTGACAGGCTCTTGTCTAAGCTTCAAACTTCAAAAGCCTCAGTCTTTCCATCTGTACAATGGGGATAAGAATACCAACTTCAAAAGGTCACAGGGAGAGTATGCTGAATATATGTGAGAGTACTTTACAACTTCAACTTACCAGGGAAGACAACAGGCAGTCACCACAGCACCACGGCTAGAAGAGGACCGCTCTACCAAGGAACCTAAGTTAACTACAACTAGGAAGCCAAAGTTTGGTTTCACCACCAATTCCCAACCAGTGATTTATCACCAACTTGTCAAAACTTTGATACCTGTGAGTTGACTGATGCTTGTACAAAAATGTGAAGGCTGATGGACAAAGTCAAGTCAAAAATAACTTTCAGCACCTCAAATTCTAATCATCCCAAAGAAACCAATGACAGGTACTAAAATTCCTTACCTTTCATTCCATTTTATGCAACTGTATTTAAAGGGGTGCTTTCCTTGCACACAAGCTCAACAGATTTAGGTTCAAGAAACTGAAATTTGGGGAGACCAAGGCAGAACGGCATTAGCCTCCAGTGAAAAAAGGCATCTTTTGGGTTCTTATTTCAACCCCTATACAGCAAAATATTTAAAAACTGACAAAGAAGGATGCCAGACTCAACGGTGCACTGCACCCCTTTGTTCTCACTGTCACATGTGCCTCTACGTGACTCTGTCCCTCTCGGTCGCTCTGGGTCTTGGCCATTAGCAGAAAGGATTTCTAGCTGATCAGGAAATGCTGATGGTCCCGTTGATGGCATGGCCTCTCTGAGCATCTTCCCACATCTCAGTTTCAGGGCATGTACCTCTGTACACTCCCCCAGCTTGAGGGGCCTGGTTCTTCTTCCCCAGGTTGTGTGGACCCTCCTTCGTCACATCCCCTGTGCTTTTCATTTCCTTCTGTTCTGATCCACATTCCCTCTTCCCTCCTTGGCCTCACAGACAGGTGGTGAGCTCATTAGTTCCAGCCTCGCTGTCTGCAACTACAGCTTAGACAGAGGGGAGACCAGGCCTCCAGTCCCTCTGCCGGCTGGTGAAGCCCCAGAATGATGACTCCTGGTCTCCTGCACCACTGCTTCTCTCCTTGTTAAATTCTGCCCAGGTCAGAAATTAGTTGATTCTGGTCCGTCATTGGAACAGACATCAGTTCATGCAGCTGCTGATCACGTGCGTTTGGTAAACACACAACTGGCAAAAGACAAAAAGAGCTGCACCCTCCTAAGGTGAAGTCTTCACCATGTTCGGGGGAACGTGGCTACATTCCACATGAATCCCTCAGTCAGGTTTAAATATCTACTATAATGCCAAAGAAAGAACAGCTCTGATGAAATCAAAGCTTCACACAAAAGGTCCCATCTGTGGCGGACAGATTCCAAGATGGCCCCAGTGATGCCTTCTTCCTGGTGTTCACGCCTTTGCGATCCACTCGCCTTGAGTGTGGGTGGGGCCTGTGACCAGCTTCTAACCAAGGACATATGGCAACAGTGATTCCACTTGGTGAACTGATTATGATGACATAGGGTTCTAACTTGCATCTTGCTGGCAGATTCTCTGTCGACTCTCCTCACTGACTTTGATGAAGTAAGTGGCCGTGTTGGGAGCTACTCCACAGAAATTCCCAGCCAACAGGGAACTGAAGACCCAGTTCAACTGCCTACAAGGCTGCCAAGAGCCACATGAGCTTGGAAGCAGACCCAACCCAGTCAAGTTTTCAGATGAGACCCCGGCTCTGGCTGACACCTTGATGTCACCTTCATGAGAAACCCAGAAGCAGAGGCCTCAGCTAAGCTGTGCCTTGACTCCTGACCCACAGAACCCAAGGGATGGTACGTGTGTCTGTTGAAGCTTCCATGTGGAGATCTGGCACATAGCAATAGGTAACTAATTCATCATCTGAGCCCCAAATAAAGCCAAGATGGGTAAGCACATTTAAATTTCCCCTTTTAAGAGACAATTTTTCATACTGGGAATTTACTAGTTTAAAAAGATGCTAATTTAATGAGACATTATTTCCTCTCCCCGGGTCTCTCCTTAGTTCCATTTGTTAAGATGTCACAAGCTTGAATTTTTCTTCCCTCTTACTGAACAGAAAAGAAATACTCAAAAGTTCAAAACTTACATGTCTTGAGTTCAATCCTATCCAACTTCAAAGTGAAGAACTTTAAAAAGCATTAAAAAAGCCACCTGGTATTTCCAAATGAACTCCCCTCCTTTTCCTGGACCTGGGGCTCTATGTAGTCTTTTTAGCTGCATATTCACATCCTCAGACATGTGAGCCAGTTTTTAGCTTCCTGCAAATAATTTTTTTCTACATTAAAGCTTAATTGTTAACAGCTTCGAAAAACTGCAAATCATTCTTACTTACATCCGGAAGTCTGTATAGCTTCATTGTTCTCTGCAAAGTCATATTTCTACTCAAGTGAGAAAATTTGACTTCTACCAGCTTTCTGGGGTTGAGTGATCGATGCCAGTATCTGGAATACAATAAAGGTTTTACGATCTGATTGATCTCCCTCTCCAAGGTTTTACTCTGTCTCAGCTCAGCTGCTACAGACGCCTTCAAGAAACACTTATCTTGTGCCTAGTGCAGAGCTGGAAGCCGGCCCTTTTCTCATGTAATTATTTTATCAGTCATTTTTTTACCTCTAAATCATGTCCAGTTATGTTCGTTTGTCATTTGTAACCTTTCATCTCTTTTAGGAAAATTGCAAATGATATATTGATGACATCCAGTTTGTAAGTATTTAATGATCATCACAGATTCTAAGAAGGCAAACCAAAACATTTAAAAACATGAAAATACTCCCCTGAAGTTAGTAACCTTCACGTTTATATAACGTACACCAAAGAAAACAACTATTTGAGAAATGAGCTTGAATTTCTTAAGTGATTCCAGTTTAGGGACTGGGATGAATGACTGTATTAAAATACACCTGTGCAGTCTTATTTATTCTGTTTATTTATGAATAATGTAATAGGACAGAGTCATTTTACAGTTTTGTCTTTTGTACTGTTTTCCTGAAGTTTTATCTTATTTGAGTCGATAAAAATAGCAGAGGGAGATAAAACTCTTTCTGATGCTCTAGAAACTGGTTAGTTCAGTGACAACATGATAAGCAATTTTCTTAGTGGATTGACCTTCAAAAGCCTGAGAAGAGTAGGTAAGTCATAAAAAGAGAGCTTTAGCCTTCTTCTTACTCTTAGCCAACGAACATGTCTGGGCTTTTCTGATGATGTTAATCAAGCTTTTGGAGTCGTTCCTGACAGCACTGGTATAACACTGAGTGTCAGAGAGGAGGGAGAAGATGGTCCTACAAGGACATCTCAAGATCCTGACGCCCTGGGTTTCCCTGAGGGAGAGACTAGTCTGTCAAACGGAGGAGACAGAAGTGGCGATACAGCACTGTGCAGGAGCGCTGGCCCAGTGCTGCCTGGTTCTGTCTCCGTCTCTGCTGCCAACCACCCACATCATCACCAAATCCCTCTGGGTTACAAGAGCAGAGAACACCTGGAGCAACAGGCAGGAGGCTCACAGCATTAGGTACAGGTGACACGCAAGACAGAGGTGCCAAGCTATTACCTGCACGTGGCCACTGGCTTAGGAAGAACCACACCAGCAGTATAAACGGCCTGGAAAATCCCTTCCAGGTTCACTCTTCTGGTTATTTCTCGAATCAACACCGGGGCTACACGTTTCGATCTCAATTTCTTATGCACACAGAGAAAGTTGATTTCGACCATCTTCTTCACGCTAAGACACAAAGATGTCAAAACTTAGAGCCCATGTAAGAGGAAAACATTTAAAAAAACAAGACAACACCCATCACATCTCAAAGAATGAGAAACTGAAAGGCCTCCTTTAACATCATATTTAAGAAAAATACACCATCATTCAGATCCTTCACAAATTCAGAGAGACACCCTCTTCCGCAGACTCCCCCACCAAAAGGACCATAACTCTGGAGATGCAAACCCTCTTGTCCTAAATACATCTGAGAACTTCGGTCTTTTATAAGTTTTCGGTTTAAAACTGGATCAGATGTGCCTCAAAGTTTCTAGATCTGTTTGTCCTGTAATGTACCCAATTACGCCAGTAACTGGGTCACCTGGATGCAGAATCTGATAAGGCGTTGCTTCCGAATATAATGCAATCCCCAGGACCCCTGGATAGTGCCTTGACCAGGCCAGAGCTGGTGCCTTTCTGAGCGCCACGAAACCTTCCGGAGCTTCAAAGCTCATCCTCTGCTCTGTTTCCAGATATGCAGGTATTTCATTTGGCACAAAATACCCCTTGAGATCAAATGCTTTTTCAGCAGTAAATAAGCTCACCCAGTATACTGAAAGATGAACAGACCGGTTATGCATTAGATCTTTGAGGTTCATAGCTGCATCTCTGACTTTCTGGGCTGGAGACCCAGAGCAAAAATGGAGCATACATATCCTACAGATAGAAAGATTTAAAAAAAACCCTCAAGTAGTTTTTTCCCCAGAATCAAATCCCCTACTTCTAGCTGTGTACCCATATACATACCCGTGTGTGTGCATGGATGAGACTAAGAGGCAGAGAAAGAGAGAGAAAAGGACAGCTGTCCTCATCACAACCCAGTGTAGGACAGGCTTTAACATGTACCTTTCGTAGATCCGGATGCTTGCAGGGATAGCACTAATGAACCCCACTAGTTTTCTGTTCGAAGATACCCTGACCCCACAGTGCCACTGAGGGAGCCAGCCTGGGGGACGCAGAGCCCTGCAGTCAGCGCCGGCAAGGAAAACAGGTACCAGTTAGTGTCCAAGAAAACATGGACAGACAGAGACAGGCCAGCCCAGCTGCTGCCCCCTCCCCACCAGGCACACAGGACTGGCCAGACTGACCACAACAGGAACTCGGGCGAATAGTCAAACCGGAACATGTTGTCATTGTCTTCCACGTAATTCTCATTCAGCAGGGTGTACAACTCCCTGAGCTGCAAGACCAAACACGTGTCCTACCTCTGGGGCTCAGGACCAAGGCAGAAGCCACACATGCCAACGCAGGTCCTGAACGCCAGAGTTTTACTCACCACTTCGGCGTTACCCAGATCTAAAGTGTCCCACATAAAACCCTGTGGCAAGGAATACGGTTCCTGACGCACGTTTTCTTTATCAGCCTCAATTGCACCATGAGATGTTATTACTTCATCTGGAGATGGGGATGATGAGAAAAAGAAAGACAAGAAGAGACGATTCCATTACAAAGTATTCTGACTATCCAAAATGGTCAGTGATGTGAAACAAAATCAGGTGTAGGGCTCTTGGGTTTAGCATATATAGTAGTTTAGTATAATATAGTATTGTTTCAGCTACCTCGAGAGTGACATGGGGTAGTTACGTACTGGGGGAGAGTAACTATATTTCACCAATTAAATAAAAGGAGGAATCCTTGGTCATTCGAAGACACGCTGGACATTACGAAACGATAGGGATTTCTCCGTCTCAACCCCTAGATGTCAGCACCACTGCCAGCAACACAGATTTGAAATGACAGACAGCCTTAGAGATGTTATATTTTTAACTCTGCTTTTCAACAAACGGTGGGGAAAGGGCTGCAGGGACCTCTGACCCTTCTCAGCAAAACCCAAAATTAATTTCAGGACTGTTTCCATCTATTTGGACTCCTGGCAGCACAGTTCAAGCCATCAGTGTTTCCAGCGATTCCCACAAAGGTGCCCTTTTCCAGTTCCTTCTCTGGAGCTTTCTGAAGTGGCTGGGATAAAATCCAGGCCCTTGACTGTGGCCGCTGCCTGCCTGGTGACCCTCGTTATGTCCACCCGGCCCTGCTCCCAAGGCTTCAGCCCTACTGACCTCCCTCAGGTCCATCACCTGTCCTTTACACGGCTGGCTGCTGGCATTTTTTTCAGATATAAGTTTATACATCGCTTCTTCTTAGCATCCTTCCCCAACTAAAACTTCTTCCCTGGCAGAGTACGTCCTCCCTGCCCGACCACCATTCATCCTTCTTTCCTATCACTGTTTCCCAGGTCTGTGTCCCAGTGCGTGGCATTTAGTGACAGACACACAAGTATCTGCTGAATAGATGCCCTCCAGGTGTAGACCTTTTTACAGGTGGAAGTCACAGGGTCTGCACCACCCCCAAGGGGCTTCCCTTTCTCTTCTTCCCGACCCCTGACTTTGCAGTTTCATCTAACTGCATTCTGCCAGCTCCTCTTCATGTGAATACCTCAGCTCGCTTGGGTCAGCCCTGGTGGCCAGATTCCCAGCTGCTCCCTTGGGGTTCCCTGTGAGTTGCTTAGGGTTTGGCTAATCCACACAACATCGGGGGACTATCCCATTCAAGCTGCTCCAAACAGCTGGGTGTGTTGGGCTGAACTGGGACACGGCTCTGGAGAGAAACGAAGAGGCAAAGTCTCCCTGACCTTGAAATGTTTTCCTTGATCTCAGGCCCCCCTCCCGTACTAACCTGGCACTGCCTTAATTGAGGTGCAAAGGGAGGGTTCTAGGAACCCGAGAACCCTCCGAGGATTTAGGGCAGGGGCCAAAATGAGCTGAGCAGTGGGGCTGCCTTCCCAAAGAATTTGCACTGGGGTTAAGTGCCAGCTGGAAGCCTCCTTCTCCCCTGGGCAGTGACCCAAAAGTCACCAGCAGCATTCAGCCCAACCCAATACATTCAGATCAATGCATCTATATCCCTTTAGCTAACGGTCACGCAACTCAATGTTATTTAAAATCCTGTAAATTCATTTCAGAGAGTCTTCCTCCACTACCAGATGTGTTTCTAGAGGCTGGAATAAAAAAAAAACAACAAGATAGTTTCTTTTTTCTTTCACACTCTGAAGCTCTTGCTTTTTAAAGCTCCTTGGGGTGGGCGTGGGCAGGAAGGGAACGGGCACTTTAAAAAGCCTGAAACCCATTATTTGAAGGCACATTGAAGGATTGTGCCCTGCCTTATATGTGATAAAACTGATCATCTGTACATAACTGGGCCAAGAAGAGTTTGGGATGGCAAAGAATACCTTCTTATCATACAGATTCTGGAACTGAAACCAGCAAGGAAGAGAAATACAGAAATAATTATATGATATCTACCTTCACAGAACATAAGACAAAGTGGCAGGTCTAGCTGGTGACACATTTATAAACATTTTTATGGCATTTATATCATCTTTTTTTTCTTGCATAATGTGAAAGAGTAACAATGAAATCATGTTTTCCAGAAATGTTAACTGGTAAAAGTTTAAGTGAAATGTGACGGAGCAGGCCAAGCGCTGAGGGAGGAGGCCTATTAGAGAGAATGTTACATGACCCAGAGCACTTACAATGGCCTTGACGAGGTGACCCGATTCCCTTTTTATACTGGAATGTTATCTCATTGGTAATAATGGACACCAAGGGTGAGAGTTCAGAATCCTATTGTTTAAACAGCAGCATTTTCCATTTCAGCAAGATTTAATAGGGCAAATTTTATGTGTCTTATGTGATAACTGAGATGTGAGACTGTTAAAAATTTATGTAGAGGGAAAACAACTCCATGAAGCTCAGAACCAAAAAATATGGGGTGGGGGAGACCCCTCTTTTATACATATATATAATACATATATGTATAATTATAATATATATATGTGTGTGTGTGTGTGTATATATATATATATACATATATATATAAATACATGAATGTTTCAAGTTTGGGGAAACTGTATTTTTTTTTATAGGGACAGGAATTACACTAAAATTTTGTTACTGAAAGCCAGTGTTGCCACCCAGTATTTATTTTAAGAAGGAAAATATGACTTTAGTGTAAATTTTGAATTGTGGCATGAAACAAATCATATAGGTGAAGTAAAGTCTCTTTTGTGTTTTTTGTCTGTTGTTAACCCAGCTTTGTTTTGAGGGGAGGGGAAGGGACGGCAGAAAAGCTTACTTAGTTTGGGTACCGGCTGAGTGTCCCAAAACTGGTATCTGTGTTTGGCAGCCTCATCAATGTTCCTGGCGGGGCCCTGGCAGGCAGATAACAGCTCCATTGCCCTCTGGATATCCTGCAACTTCTGCATTGGAATGGTGGGATTCTACAACAGCAAAGACACACAGACACAAAGTATGAGGAAGCTGCCACTGCTCCCAATCCTATATGTGCTCCTGCCTTGGAGACCAGAGCGTTTGCTGGGAAAATGCGTGATCCTCCTCTAAGCCTGGCCTTGGGGCTCAGGTATGCTAACATATTAAAATATAAGCAAACATATTAGGTTAAAGGCAACAACAGTTCTACAGTTTTAATGGGGCTCAGACAGTCTGGGAAATCGAAAGTAAATCGAACCACTCTTTGCTTCAGTTTCCCACCCACTGGCAAACAGTCCTCACCATCAGTTACTCATGTGGCCCGAGCAACAAAAAGGGGGACAAGCAATGCAAAGTCACTATCACACAGAAGCCAGTCAGCCTCTGGCCTTGGTGTCACTGTTGGGGTTAATGCTGGACAGTAGCAACATGGGGACAAAAGAAGTAACTTCAAAGCAGAAACCGGGCAGACGAGGGAAATTTCAGTTCGTGAAAAGAAAGAGAGAGATCTGAACTTAGTGCTGGGCTGGGAAGGAAGTTCATCAAGAAAGGACTCTCTAACGGCTGTTCTCCTCCTGGACCACACCCCACCCTCTCCTGACTGTGATGCTTCTCCAGAGATGGACCTTTCAACAAGCATGAGCCGTCTGCTCCATGGATTCAGAGCCTTTCATGACTACAGCCTGTCCTCCCTAATCCAAGGGTCGTGAAGAACCTCCCTTGTAAGTAAAACATATTCTCAGTCTACAAAATGGACCATTCCTTTTAATTTTAAAGTTCCTTCCTCAAAACCATATTTCTGCCATCTCTGAAGATTCCCCAGATCTTCTTTTTTCTTTTTTGGAAAATCTCTCAAATAATGTAATGTGGAAAATGAGACAATACTTGAAATGAGAGAGTGGTAGGTAGGACTGAATATGGAAATTGGTGAGGTTTTTCAATGAGTGAAGTTATTAATTAGTATCAGAATTTCAATGCCATACAGAGAATGCTCCTCACTGTGGTTCAGAAGTGATTGGAAGGAATCTCACAGCCCTTTGGTTTCCCTATATGCCAATACCATGGGTACCAAGGAAAGGTACCACCAATCTTCAATGGTTTACCGACAGCAGCTCTGGACTTCTGTTCAATTTTGAATCTGAAGTCTGTGGTCTGGAGCAAATCCTTTAATCTGGGAAGCTTCTTTGTTTGACCCAGCACAAAATGGGGTTTATTCAATACAGACCATCCTGTGCTTGACTCACTGGGTTTCTTTAAGGTTCTTGCCACAAAAATGATTCCAAGACACAAAGTGCCAGAGTCTAACTGGAGGTAGGTTGAAGTCTAAATGTCTCCACTTAGAAGTCTAACAGCATTACCCAGGACAGCCACAAATTTTATCAGCTCTTTATCTCATATTCCCATTGAGGTTTAGATCATAAGGGTCATATGTCAATGACACATAACCATTTAACAAAATAATTTTCTTGTTCTAATTTATTTCATTTTCAGATTTATTTTGTTTGGGTCTCTTTTGAACTTCCCACACAAAAGTAACTAATTTCTAGCAACATGAAATGTGCATCCATCTGAACTCCCAGTAACACAATCAATTAGGAGACCTACAACTCAAATAGGAAGTGAGAGCCCATAATGTTTTGACTAATAATGCTTCAACACGCACTGGTTCGGTTTATCTTAAGATAAGCCAAGCAGAACCTAGTCTTAAAAGAATATACCTACAGCGTCTGAATCGAATTTGCTGTAGTTAATTCTTCTTTCCTGCTATTTGAGTTAAATCCTCTAACACAAATGTACCAAACTCCAACCATTTTGTAACACACATGCAATCAGCATCTTTGTTCCAAAGGAGCCAATAGTGATATCCCCTCTTCATGAAGAAGCCCTCAGAATGGTTTCTGCCTCAGCAAGTTGACCAGCAGTCTACACGTGAAATCACCATTCATGAAATATTCACATCCCAATGCTCAATATTAAATGCTTTCCTTTTTTTTTTTCCTTGTATTGAAGTCTAGTTGATTTACAATATTATATTAGTTTCAGGTGTATACCACAGTGATTCAATATTTATATAGGGGATACTCTTAAGTGCTTTCTTAAAGTAGATTTAAGTAAGCACAGCCTCCAAATCCATGGTGACAGAGCAGTGAGGAAAACTCAGCTACGATAAATTCTTAAACCTCCGCACTCACGTTCCACAGTGGCACCAAATGAGGTGTTAGGAAAGGTGAGAATGTGTATCCACCCCATTATTATATTCCCATTAAGAGCCAGACACTCCTCTTTTACTCTTTGCCCATTATTTTCCAAATTTAATACTTGGGAAAAAAAATCCAAGTCCTTTACCACTAAGAAGTATAGAAAAATCCAGACAAATGTCATTTTAGTCTGGTTCTTGGGCACGAACCATAATATTCTCAAAACATAGTTCAATTCATAGTGTTATTTTGAGCTGGCATCTAAAGAGAAAGGAGCCCCAAGTTTTAAAAATGCAATGAAAAGCCCACAATAAAACAATTCTGATTTATTTTTCATTAAAAAAGGAAAGAACTTCTCCACTATATCATGCCAGCAGTTCCTCCTGCCTTGGCTGGCTGTACTTCCTTACAAGTGACCAGAGGCAGGGGAAGGGCTCAAAATCATCAGGGATACAGAGACGGGTGGCAGCTGATAATGATGACAGAAGCAATAAGGAGTTGGTCACAACTGCATGTAAGTAACACCACACTCGTCTAAGGAAGCCACATTGAGAAAAAGAAAAAATATCTTATAAGCATATGGTGTCCCTTATATGAGCTACCTCGGAACTTACCATTATTCATTACACAAAAACAAGCTGAAAAACTAGGGAGGGAGACACCACTTTCTTCTTGCCCCAGAAAGGCAGTTGGGAAAATGTGGGGAGATTTTCCTTCTCGGTGATTCCTGATCCTTATGTGTTAAACAGGCAACAACAACAAAAAAGCAATCTCCAAGGCTCACTCAACGCCACACAATGTAAACTTTGTGCGAGAAAAAGAGTTTAGACCCCATAAAACTTGCATAATCGTAACAACTGCCACGTATAGTGCTTTGCAGGATAAAAACCATTCAATAAAGGCGGTCTCACTGTAACCTCCTAACAGCCTTGGGAGTCGGGAAGAAGGCACTGTTCCCACTTTGCAGGTGAAATGAGCTGGAGGAGGTGCAGAGCCTGCAGACACACAGCTGAGGGCCCTGGGGCCGCGACTCAGCTCTGCTGAGAGCCACACGCCATCCAACCTACATGGAGCCACAATCATCAGCTACTCTGTGTTGTTACATTTCTAACTCTACCCTTTTCACTGTGAGTTTCTGGTATGGGGGAGCTGTGTGCTCCCTCGGGCCCAGGACACAAGGTCTCTGTTCATTGCCAGGGTGACCATGGTGGCCCTGGGGAAGGGGCACTGGGCATCGGCACCTCCGAGGCACATGAGACAGGCCATCTGCCCAGGCAGGGCACTGCCAGGCAACTTCTGGTTTGGTCTCAAATGGGCGCATCTCCCCAGGGAAGGTTAAGAGCTGTTTCCCACCCTTGGCAACAGAATTAAGAATGGCCGCTGCAGACTGGTCCAGTTCAAAGTCGGCGTTAGACTTACCCGTGGTGGCTCCCACCGGAATCTGCTGCCAGATGGTGTTGTGCTATTCAGGTAATTAGACAGACACCCAGAAAAATTAAAATGTGAATTATCTCCTGAAGTAAAAGGAATCAAGTATTAAGTGTAACTTCAAAAAACAAAAACAAAAAGCAAAAACCTAACAAGGTCACACTGAGACTTTCTTCTATGACTGCAATTTATGTGCTAATTTGCTGAGAAAGGGGGAAAACACAGGCAGAATACATACACACACACACACAGAAGCACAGTACAAACCTCTCAGTTATCTGGGTGCCAACGGCAGCTTCAGGAAGGCTGTGAACACCCTCCGGTTACCACCACTGTTCAGTCCACAGTCACAACAGTACCCTAACAGCACCTCTGATCCAACAGGGCACTCGCCTAAGCTGCATGAACCCACGTTCACATGCATGAGACACCACAGAGGCTAAGATAAAAACACGGCTCTCACTTTTGAAGGCTGCTGAATTTTAATCTCCTGGGAATCAGATGCTGAGTCTGACTTGGTGCCGCCAGAATTTGGTTTCTCCTTTTTTCTCTTCTGTTTCTTCTTTTTCTTTTTGGCACCCAAATCCCCTCCGGGACTTCTGTTAGGAAATTCACAGAGTTCATAAAACAACAACAGGTCATAACGCAAAACTTGAAATTGCATGCAATTAATCGTTTAGGAAAAACAATGTTATACACAGGAGGAAAAAAGTATGGTAGGATGTGTGACACTGTGATTAATAAGGAATATATACATTCAGATAACCAAATATATATTTTTCATGTATATTTGGTCTTCATCCATGGTTCCTGGCTCACAGCTCCTAAAACCCGAGGAATTTCCTAAGAGATGAGAACTTAAAGGTGTCCCTTATGGTAGGTTAAAGAGGTGGCTTTAGGAAGCACTTAAGGGTGGGGGCTGGTTGCCAGGGGAACCAACCATGTAATTAGAGAGTTGGAACTTTCAATTCCACCCTCCTGACCTCAGGGATTGAAGAAGCTGAATCAAGTATCAACGAGCAATGAGTTAATCAATCATGCATATGTAAGGAAGCCTCCAAAGAAATCCAAAAGGAGGGGGTTCTGAGAGCTTTGGGTTGGTGAACACATGGTGCTTCGGGGACAGTGACACCTGGAGAAGGTATGGAAGCCCCGTGCCCCTTCCCCATACTTTGTTATCTGCATCTCTTCCATATGGCTGTTCCTGAGTTACATCCTTTCATAATAAACAGGTGATCTAGTAAGTAAATGTTCCTCTGAGTTCTGTGAGCTGCTCTAACAAGTGAATGGAACCTAAGGAGGGGGCCTTTGGAACTTCCAATCTGCAGCCCAGTCAGAAACACAGTCTGCTATTTGTGATGCCTGGAGGGGTAGGGGAGCAGTCTTACAGGAATGAGCCCCTAACCAGTGGAAATGGATACTGTCTCTGAGCCGAACTGTAGGACACCCAGCTGGTGTCTGAGAATTGCTTGGTGTTACGTGGGAAGGCCCCTCCCCTGGCCACCTCCCCACTGCAACTGTCTCCAGGAACCCAGGAGAGTATTAGTCTACAATCAGTCACTCTGCAGGATGTGATGTAAGCAGGAAAATTACAGGTATCAACTACACTTTACCACAGAAGCCAAAAAGCTTCCACAGTTACCACTGCTCCACTAATTTGCTTTTTAGTTAGCATTTTAAGGGAGAGAGACATGTTGTAAAATATTCCATTATAAACATCTCTTGGGTATAACACACCACTAATCTCAACAAAACAGAACCAAGGAAAGGGCTTCCCTGAAGAGGGGGACATTTTTCCTGATAAAGATTTTTATTAGAAGGATTCTACATGAAAAAAAAATTCACTGGTAAAACACTTCTGGTTTGGAACCCTTGTCATCTTAGAGTCTCACCTTCTGAAAGAGCAAGAGACACAAGGGGATTTAAAATGTCCATTTCTGGGGCTTATTCTACCACAGACAAATTCAAATTTAGAGTCAGAGATTATTACTGCATTATCGCCTGATGTAGGGAAAGTTGTAGAAATAATCAGTTCTGTTCTATGTCTTCATGGGTTCTATCTGACACATTTTCTTTTCTTGAATTTTTACTTATTTACCAAAAACATATTCATTATATAAGACATAAATGTCACTAATATGTTTAAGAGCCTTATAACAGTGTCCCTCAAAGGCAACCAATAGTTTTTCTGGTATAAATTCTTCTAAAATAATCTTTCTTCTCTAAGCATGCCTTCATTTTCAACATGAGTAAATTTTAAACAAAAATCAAATCTTACATACTATTTTGAAACTTGGCCTTTTTTTGGTCTCCTTCCACTTAACAATGTATCTTGGACTTCTTCTTTTTTCCACATCAGGATAAATGAAGCTGCCTCATTTCTTTTTAGCAACTGGACAGCATCCACTGTGTAAGTGTATCCTATTTTATGTAACCATGATTAAAATTATTAAAAATTAAAAATTCTGTTGCAAAAAAATATTCTGGTACTTACATCTTGGTGTTTTCCTGCTAGCATGTCCACAGGTGGAAATGCCAGGTCAAAGGGCATGCACATTTTTTGTTTTAGTGGATAATTAAGCCTGCTTTACTAAATACCATACCAATTTCCACTCCACCAACAATAAATGACACAGTTTCTGGTTCTGCATGTAAGGAGCTTGGATGTCACCACTCCATCCTAGCAGACTGAAAAATCAACAATTTTCCTGAGATCCATAAGGGAGGCAAGGATACAAGACAAACTGCTTCCCATCCCCCCACACCTCACCACCCTGTTACCAAAGGCCTATGTATAGCAGTTCCTTCAACCCAGTACATCATATATGGCTATCAAGAAAAACACACAAGGCATACCAAAAAGCCAAAAACACAGCTGGAAAAGATGGGCAAGCATCAGAACCAGACGTGGCAGGGATGGTGGAACTACCAGACCAGGAATTTGAAACAACTATCACTGAAACGATAAAGGCTCAGGTGGGCACAGCAGACAGCAGGCGAATAGACTGGCAGTGTGGCAGGGATGGAAACCCCGGGAAAGAACCAAGATGGATCAGGAACACTGTGACAGAAATGAAGAATGTCTTTTATGGACTTATTTGGAGACTGGACACAGCTGAGGAAAGAACCTCTGGGCTTGAGGATATAGCATTGGAAGCCTTAACAGAAACCCCTCCAACAATGAACAAAGAGAGCAAAGATGGGAAAAACAGAACATCCAAGGACTGTGGGACAACTACAGAAAGTGTAATGTACGTGTAATGGGAGTACCAGAAAGAGAGGAAAGAAAGAAACAGAAGAAGCACTTGGAACAACCATGTCTGGGGAGTTCCCCAAAGCAACATCAGGCACTAACCCATAGATCCAAGAAGCTCAGAGAACACCAAGCAGAACAAACGCCAAAACCCCTGCACCTTGGCACATCATTATCAAACTGCAGAAAGCCAGAGATGCAAGAAGCCTTTGAGGAACAAAGGACAGAACAGTAAGAACATCAGTTTCCCTACGTCTTTGCCAGCACTGACATATTACCATTCTTTTTCATCCTCAACAGTCTGATAGGTAGAAAAAAATCTCACTGTGGGTTTAATGTTCCTTTATTTAATCTGGAGCAAGACTATACATTTTCATATGTTTATAGACCATTTATATTTTTCCATAAATAGCTCATTCATATCCTTTTTCTACTAGTCATCTTTTTATAAAAATGATTTGTAGGTACACTTTATAAAAGCATGGACAGAACCTATCATTTTTAAAGAATTTTTACTTTGGGGACCTTAATCTCATTTAATCCTCACAACAGCCCTATGAGAGCAATAGCTAGCTCATGCTTATATTCCATTGCCTCGTTTCTTGCCTACCTTTTACACTGCAAATACTTTACCCAGTTTAGTTTTTAGTTTTCAGCTTTATTTGTGGTATTTTTTCCCTGTACAGACACAAAATTTTTAGAGGGTCTAATATTTAAAACGTTTCCCTTGTGGCTTTTCCGCTTTTTAGTCTTGCTTAGAAAGAACTTCCCTATTCCAAAATTACATAAATATCCTTCTATAACCTTTCCTCTTTTAACTTTATGACTTTAAGGAAAAAATATTTAGCTTTCTAATTCATCTGGAATAAAATGCATACAGTGTGATGTATCATGTTCCTACTTTTCAAAAATACATTTTAAATACAAGAAAGCCCCATTATAACATAACTTGTTATTACAGGGGTCACACTGCATCGCTCAAAGACTAACGGGCAGACATAGTAAGCGAAGAGGACCTGTCTACTCATTGGAGACAATCACAAAGCAAGGTCCTCTTTTTGCCAGATGCTGCTCCAGGTGCAGGCAGTTTCAAACATGTCTGCAAATTCTTTGATACGTCTCCTGTCGAGAGGTGGGGGTCTCTTTCCTTCCCCTTAAATCTGGGCAGGATTGTCTCTTGCTAGTAAAGCAGTGGAAGTGACTCTATGTGACTTCTGAGGCTAGGTCACGAAAGGCCATGCAGTTCCCACCTGGCTGTCTTGGGATGCTCAACTCTGGGGGCCACATAAGAGGTCCCGCTGCCCTGAGACCAGCGGGCTGGCGGTGTGGAAGACGGCGCAGCTGGACCCAGGACACCACGGAAGGGAGCCCTCATGAATGCCCAGCTCAGCTCAGTCAAGTCTGCATAAGACTCCAGCGCAAGGCAATGTCCGTCTGCAAGTGCAGGAGAGACCCCCAGGGAGGAACTGCCCTTCCCCAGCTTCTCCTCACCCACAGGGCCTGCAAATGTAATAAAGCACGTTGTTTTGTGTTGCCAGGCTTGTGATGATCTGGCATGCAGCAACCACAACTGGTTCAGACATGTGGGATATCTAAGTGGAGGGCTGCTGGGACAGAACCCTAGAACATAGTGGCCCTGGCTTTCAGACCAGCTAGAAAGATCCTGGGGCGACTGTTAAACGAAACCTGCCAGTGCCGAGGAGGCTGGTGGTGAGGACTTGGGAAAATAAGGGAAATGGTGTTGGAAGCCTGAGGGAAGGGGTCCTTGTAATGTAGTGGAGGCACATTTATAAAAATGCTGCCAGGGATAACGTGGAAAACAGAAAGTGTACCTAATGAGTGTGAAAATCTAACTAAAAAGGCTTCTGGGCAGAAGGTTGAAAACACCCTGGCTTTTCCCAGATGCCTATAAAGGAAATGAGAGCAGGGAGAGATTAACTCCAGGGCGAGACACTCAGCGTCTGAGTGGGAGTTAGAGAATACATAAACCCAGGCAGAACTTGTTAGACTCAAAATTCAACTGGTCTTCAACCCCAGCATCTCCAGAAGGCAAAGGCTTCGCGTATTAAGAAACGGCCTTAGGACGGTCACACCTGGGATGGAGCTGCCTGACCCTCGGTGAGGACTTCAGAAAGCCCTAAGGTAGTATCCCACTGACCATTCCAAACAGAATGCTTTTTTGTTTTTTGTTTTTGTTCTTGTTTGGAAAAGGCTGTGCTTTAGTACATGAATAATTACAAATCTCTGCTAAGTGAAAAACGTATAAAGCATCTGAACTTCAGTCACACAGAGAAAGGGACAATCCCATTAACCCTTCCGCCAGTGTCCATCCCAACACCTTTAGCATGACTGCCTCCATTTCTTACAGTTTGCACAGCACTTACTTATCAAAGCACTTTCCTTT